TTCAAAAAACAAATTCTAGTTTAATTTCATGAGACTATTACCATGAAAGTATCGCCAATGTTGATGACAAATGCGTTTGGATTGGGAGCGATGGAGTACCACTTTTCATCAACCAACACTTGAAGACCGTAGACTTGATCCTGATGAAGGATTGTCAAGGAGGTAGGGTCACAGTGAGGCCCTATTCCTAGTGTTAAATTGGGGTTTGGGCAGGGTGGATAATAATTTAGTCTCATAATGGAATCATTTCCTTGGAAGAAATCTCTGAAATAAGATCTCTCAACTCCTAGACTTAGCCCCAGCAGCTCCATGATCTCTAGTGCGAGTTTGCTCATCGCTTCGCAGTATTCCTGATAAACCCTCCTATATATTAAACGAAAAATAAATAAATAAATCAAAAAGTACCTATACACATGCAATATTGTTCATGCTGAGAGACAGGCAATTAGTTAGGGGTACTACTAATACTGTTGAATGTGACCGCCGTACTGCTCGTGTATGTACTTAACATTCATCATCATCGCATGCGAATCTAATACCAAGGATGAGTGATACGCACCCGAATTGTCTAAAATCTTCACCTATCCTCTTGACGAAATAATCTTCCACGATATTTGAGTGTTGACAGCGATGATCTGCACTATATTGAAAAGAGAGCGTTTCCTTCCATGGGAGCTTGGAGGAGAACCTGCTTCCGGTGAAGCTACTAGCGTATCCACAGTGTTCGCCGTTCTTTCTCTGTAACCTTTGCTTCTCGAAGAAGTGCATGCCGAAGAACAAGTCCATATACTCTCGAGCTTTTGCTATGAGCCGGAAATCAACCCCGTGGTTCACAACAAGAAAGAATCCATGTTTCCTGCATGTATCATTGACGAGCTGGGACACTCTAGAGATGGTATCAGAATCACCGGAGAGGAAGCCTCCCAAGTCAATGGGAGGAATGGCCAGCTCAAGAGGGTGAAGGCAGGGCTTTTCGTGGTCGGGCCATATGAACTCTGAAGGTATTTTGTTGGATTCAAACTGATTAGAAACCGAAGCATTGAAGAACAACGGTTCTGGAGGCATTAATGCAGCGGATATTGTTGTTTGGTTAGTGAGAAAAGAGTGGAAACTGAGGGGATGAGAAGCAAAGGGGTGGAAGAGGTTTAATTAATATATAGGGGAAGTGATGTGAGAGGAGAGGAGAGGAGAGAAAAGCCAAGGCCGTTTATTGGGGAGGTCGTGTTAATTATTAAAAATACATACTAGAGAATCCAATTGTTTTCATTGTTGCGTCATTCTTCTCATATCTTTGTTTTTATATATCTCCATGTAGTATGGTTTGTGGCCTTTATAATTATTTTATGAGGGAGGGGCAACATTATTGTTATTATTTTTTCTATAACATGAGTATTTAGCAATGCTACATTCCCTTTCATATTTAAAATTTAGAGTTTGTTCAAACTAATTAATTTAAAGTTTAAAATCAATTCAATACATCAAATGATTTATCATTAAATTTAAGAACTTAAGTTTAAATGATTGTGAATTCAATTTTTATCAATTACTTGTAAATTTACCTTTCTCTCAAAATTTTCCATGTTCAAAAAAATAATAATAACAACTTAAGTTTTTATAAAAAGGACAAAAAAAAAGGGTTTTGAAGTAGAGACAAAATGTTCTATAATATGTATTGGCCGAAATAACTAATTAAAACATACTTTTAAATAAGTGAGAAAAAATAAAGTATTATAGCAGTGATGGTAACATAAAAATATCATTTCATATATGTATACTCCATGGGCGTGGATATGTTTAGAACAAGTATTTCTACATTTTTTTTTTTTTTTTACAAGTCAACCTGAAAATTCACAATCTCTAAGAATTAATATAGTGGAGGGGGCCTATGGGAAAAGAGGATTCTCATCTCATCCTTGGATGCCAATTAATCCACTAACCAATATACAAAGATTTAAATGAAAACATAAGTTGGCATCATGCATGCACCTGACTGCTATAATTTACGTAATATGTGAAGGGATATGCTTAGTTTTTTTCATTTTTATTTTTAATAATGAAAAGATATATAAAACGACTATGAATAGCAGATTCGAGATTTCAGAAATGCTAGATCATGGTTTTAAGGGGACATACATGATTGTAACAATGGCAGATTGTTTTCCGAATTTGTTATGCCTAAAGATAGATGCGCGGGGCAGTCATTGCTTCTAGTATAGTTTTAGGAATTGATCACTTTAACCCATTAGTGTGCAGCTAATGCTCCTTTTATTTTAAAATAATTGTTTTTTTTTTTTCTTAAACATGAAGAAATTTGAAGGATGAAGGATTTTTTTCAAATCGTTAATGGAAGTAAAGCATTCTGGGTATGATGTTTTGACTCTCAACCGTTGGATCTTGATTCATAAAATTGAAGCTAATGCTTCCATGAACTAGAAATACACATCATTCATTCATCAAGGACTGGAGAAAGCAATGGCTTGTTTGAAAAGAAAGCTTCCAAGTTGCCGACCACGAGCTCACACAAACCCAAAAAGGATTCCGGCGTAAACACAGCCGCATGCGGGGAGAGCACAACATTGTCCAATGCAAAAAGCTCTTTGGGAACATCAGGCTCCTTCTCAAACACATCCAAACCAGCACCCGCAATCTCCCTTGCCAACAAGCTCTGCACCATTTCTTTCTCGTCCACAATAGCCCCACGTGCGATGTTGATGAGGACCCCTTCCTTTCCTAGAGCCAGCAGTACTTCTCTATTGATCATGTGTCGGGTTTCTGCATTTAGTCCACAGCAAATGATGAGGACATCGCTGTTTTCAGCCAGCTGGAGCACATTTGGGTAAAAGGGGTAAGGAACATGAGGCTTCTTTTTCCTTGAGTTGTAGGCGATGGTGCAGCCAAACGCCTCCAGCCTCTTTGCAACTGCTGAGCCAATGCCTCCCAATCCAACAATTCCAACCCGCCTGCATCCTAACTGAAATCACAAATCATCAAATTCTACATAAAAATTAGTGAAATTAGTATTGTTTTGAGGGAAAGGGCCAGAATTAATTGCTTGATTTTGCTCGCAATTTATCCAGAAGTAGTATTTCCCAGGACACAAACAGAAAAGGAAAGAAATTAAAACTAGCTAGCTACAAGGTAATTAACAAATAGCTAGATCGATGATGGATGACCTTGGAGCCAAGAGGGTAATCTCCGCTGGCAGGCCAAAGTCCCTGTTGTCTCACGAATCGATCAGCAGCAGAGATCTTTCTGAGCACATCAACTAACAACCCCACAGCAGCATCGGCACCATCGTCTACCAAAACAGTTCTAGCATTGGTGACTGCTATGCCCCGCTGCCTGCACGCCGGTAAGTCGACGTGGTTGAGACCTGCACTGGCAGTAACAACAAGTTGCAACGAAGGCAGCAATTGGAGGACGTCGGTGGTGATGGGAGATGCACCAGAGCACAAGACTGCTCGGACAGAGCCCGCGTGGGTAATCAAGAATTGATCCAGAGGGAGAGCTGACTCCCACGCTTTCAGGAGCTGAAATTTTGTTGAGATGAGTTTCTCCCCAAATAGGGTGAGGATCGGAGGTGGTTTTATGACTAGAACCAGACGTAGATCCTCTGGCCGCTGCTCAGGCACTTCCATCTTTGGATTCTCCTCAAGGCAGAGGAGGCATAATAATAAGTCATTATAAATTTTATTTTTGACCAAACCCCCTATTTGCACCCTCTATTTATATCATTTCTGCAGTCAACACCTTCTAAAATTTTTTGTCTCTATTCACAGTCTCAATTTTTCAAAACCCATGAAAAATCCAATATTTTAACAGACCGTAACGGAAACGTTAATAACAGTTAAAAATTATAATACATGGCATCAAATAGTAACATGAACGTTATGTCACCTTATTAATTCAATGTGTACTTTTTTTTTATGATGTGGCATAATTAAATCATAATTAATTTTAATTTCTTTATTTTCTTCTTTCTCGGCATCATCTTTACCATCTTCCTCTTCATCCTCCTGGGTTCCTCATGGAACCAGGAACCCAGGACGTTATGTCACATTTATTAATCCAATGTGGACTTTTTTTTTTTATAATGTGTTATAATTAAATCATAATTAATTTTAATTTCTTCATTTTCTTCTTTCCCAACATCATCTTCACTACCTCGTCCTCGTCCTCGTCCTCGTCCTCATCCTCTTGGGTTCCTCGCAGAACTCAGGTTCTAAGTTCCTCGTGGAACCCAGTTTCATATGAATGCCTACCAAGCTAAGATTTTCATCCACACAATTATAAATACATGAATACTACACAAAAACATGATATGCATCTTCCACCCCTTTCCAACAAAAAACGAAGAAACCATTATTGCCATTCATGTTAATCCCACTTGAACTCAAATTGGCAACCTATTCAGAAATACTCTCCAAGCTAAAAAACTCACATTTCCAACAAAATTTTTTTTCCAAATTGCTTTGTATAAAATAAGAAAATAAGATATATACATTCAAAATTTTAAAAAAAATGAAAAAAAAATGGTTGGAACCCAGAAATGGGTTCCCCACGAGGAACCCAGATTTGGGTTTTGCACATGAACCCAGAATTTGGGTTCCGTAGAACCCATTGAGAAGAGGAGAAGAGGATGGTGAAGATGATGCCAAGGATGAGGGGGAAAGAAAAAGATGAAAAAATGC